ATGTATACATAAATATATAGACAAATAAGATACATTTTAACACAAATAATTAATTTTTCATCCACATTTCTTTTCATTTTGGAGGGATTGATTTTGGTGAGTTAGAAGGAAAGTTAATTCATCCAATTTTTCATCCTTCTTATTTTTCTTTCTTACCAAATATGATGTTTTATTTATTCCTCCAACTTTTAATTCTTTCAACTTTCTATTCTTTCAATTTTTCATTATACAAAATGGAGCATAAGTAATGTTGTGTGGGAAACTCTCTAGTATCCCAAAAAAAAAAAAAATTGGTACAAATAACATCGACTATTATTTTGAATGATAAAATTATAATTTTTTAAAAAAATTATAATTATTCGAGAGAAATTATGATTCATTATAGATGCTTTTAATCAATCATAAAAGATGCGGTCTTAATTTCAACATTTTATAATCAATTATACATTTTAAAACTGTAGCTTACACTTTAAAAAAATTATAATTTAACTTTAAAAAATTATAATTTATAATGCCAATACCGTCTATAATACGTTAGAAATTTCCATTTTGTGTAGACTATCTTTGGACACCATTTCACTTATAAACTTGACTCGGCACAATTACAATTATTGAATATGTGTTAAATTTTGTATAACTTATTAATTTAATAATTTATCTTAAAGCGGTATACAAAAATAATGTAGAAAAGTGGTGTGTATAACTTTGTTGTACTTCATTTTATCCACATAATTCTGCAAAAAGGTGGGAAGCGGCAACCAACGTAACGAGCACCCTAGGCGTGATCAAAGGAGTTCTTACCAATTGTAAAATGTATAATTTGAACTATAACTACTATTCTAAAAAGGTCGAGCCTGTCACTATAGATCCATCAAGGCATAAACAAACTTTCAATCCCCTTCTCATCAGTATATGGTTCACACAAATTCTATCACAAGCGAATTTGAACATTCAAAAACAAAGCAAGAGTATTATCCCAATTGTTGAAGCCAACTTGGCTACATCCTCATTGTTACATCGTCGAAATTAAGGTCTCATCACGTCTAATGTGAATTTTCATTTATTAAAAATTAGATTTGATAATTTCAACTATTGAATAAGTAGTGAGTCCCAATAAATACTGGAACCCACAGTAAAATCAATGATTCTAATAACATTGCTCTTATTATTTTTATTTTCAATGGGTAGAAAAACTACTCCTATTCACTCGTGCATCAGCATATTTTTTTTAATAAATACATGTAATAACTTCTCAAAAAATGTCATTTAATTAAAAATAGGTCAATTTTATTTTATCCTCGTGTGGTTTGTCTTTAAAGCACATTACTCCCTTATCTTTTAAAAATAAGCAAATAACTCCATTGTGGTTTTACACCTATAGTGAAAAGACATTCCTACCCCTCAGTATCTTCCACCCTGTCTTTCTCTTCTCTTCTCTTCGGTTTAAGAACAAAACCACCACCACCACCTCCACTCCATTGCCTACCTCCACCATTGTACCACTGTCACTACCACCATCACCTAATTACCCTCACTGCTCATTAACACCACCCCACTGTGTGCAATCATCAATCTTAATTCAAACAAATTGATTAAATTTTAAAAAGAATATCATATCTAAAAAGTTTAATTATACCTTGAAAGATCGTTCGAATTTTAATTTGTATTCTCAAAAATAAAAAATTTTAATTTATATTCTCAAAGATTAAAATTGGTATCAATACGCACATAAAACTAACGGTAGTAGTTTGCTGTCAAAACTAAATGAATAAATTATACTTAGATCTTCTCATTATTTGTCACTTAATCATTTGGACTCTATCACATTTAGAATATTATTCCTACACCTCTTGACATTTGTGCATGTGTAACACATAATCCCTTGTTGCTGATATCTATTAATATAACCTTTAAAATATATGACTTCATCCAAATAAAAAATTATTATTTCATATTAACCTTTAATTTGTGGGTTTGTTATACTCTAAAGTTTAAAATCAAGTTTATCGTTTAAATACTTAATATAATGCAGGTATTTATATAATATTCTTAAACAGAATTATTTAAATGTCCAATTGGGAGAATATTTTTAGTCATATTTGAATTATCAAGAGATATAGATTTAATATTTCAAATGTAAAAGGTCTAGATAATTAAGTAACAAACATAAATGAGTCTTTGTATAATTTATCCATTTAATTTTAGACAGTAAACTGACAGATGATAACTTGAGGTGCACATTGATATAAATTTCTATCTTTAAGGGTATAAATTAAATTTTTTTATCTTTAAGAATACAAATTGAGATTTGAACGATTTTTTTGGGTTGTAATTTGAGCTTAACCCTATCTAAGAACATTTCCAAAGATAATCTTCAAATAACTACTCAAAATATATTAAAAAATTACATTCTTTATTTTAAATAGCGATTTTTAGAAAATTACTCCAACTATACTCTCTATTTTAATTAACTAATACTAATATTTTAAGTCAAAATATTGCATAGTTTGACACGTCGTCAATATATAAAATAGATATCCCCTTAGAGTGCAAAAAGAATTATTTGACTCTCTAAATATAAAATAGCTAGCCAAAGAGGGTAACTAAATGTAGAGAGCCATTTAGCCCAAATGTAAAATAGGTAGCCAAATAACTAATCTTTGGAGTTCAATTTGGTGGTTTGACTCTTTATTTTAACTAACAAATGTCAAATACTAGCCCATTGAAAATGCTCTAAAACCTATTTTGTAATGGGTCTTGGAATTGAAATAATTGAGAATCAAATCTAGAAATTAGAATTGAACAAAAATCTAAACCAAAAATCAAATCGAACCCAAATCAGAATCAAAGCAAAATCGATGGCGATGTTCTTTGTTTGCCTCGTTCATTTGTCGCAGATTACATACCATTGTGAGAGAGAGAGAAAGAGCCCTAAAAAAAGGAGGTGGTGTGTGATGGTCGATGATACTAGATGCGGTGACAATAGGTGCTTGCACAAATAGAAAAAAAGAAAGAGAAAGAGAGAGAGTGAGTTGATAGTAGGGAGATGGGTGGCTGTGGGAGGAGGTAAAGGAGGTGGGTGTTGGTAGAGGAGGAAGTGAAGTTGCGCTAGAAGACGTGCTGGGCGAGTTGGGTGGTCTGTGAGGAGGTCGGCAAGAGGATGATTGAAGTGATAATTTTGTCATTTCAATGGTTAGAGGGCATAATTGTATTTTTATTAGGTTTGACTATTGACTCAATTTTTTTTTCACAGCCACCCTATTTTAGGGATGTGGAATATAATTTTTATTAATTTGGACTAAAATTGTAACGGCAACAAATTGAACTAAAAGCACAAAGGGATGATTTTTTTAAACGATCGGGGGTGTTGTGTTCCAAGGACAAACCACAAAAGGATAAAATAAAATTTGACCTAAAAAAATAAATTAAAAAATTATTAAAATGAAACGTTAGATTAATTAAAAAAATCTGTCTAAATCATATATGACTCATCACCAAATGCTGACCGAGTAAAATTTTAAGACAAAAATTTAGATTGGAGCATCATGATTACAGGCCGACCGGCTATAACCGGTCACAGGACAGGGTGATGAAACCATAACCCACTAACCCCGCCAGCATTAACTATTAAATAATTAAAGTCCACGTAGTCTCTCACCACCTATCAATGATCGGTTTTTGTCTCATTCTCACCTCCAAAAACATCGAAACGATTCATTTATCCACGTGGCATCCAACCACCCCCGATCACCAAAAGTATACTTTACCAACCAAGGATGCAATGCTATTGGCCGTAATTTGGAGGTTTCGTTCGAGATTTAATTTATTTTAATTATTAAATTAATTACGAGTTTTAAAATTTGATGAAATTTTTTAATTTAATTATTACAATTAATTAGATCATCACATTAAATCTTCAAATTAAATTTAAATAGTATTTCTTTTACTAAAATGCGTTCTCTCTAACCCTAGGACAATTTGGATAGAAATTGATTTAAATTATTTTATTTATTTTTTTTGATAAAAATTAAGCATAATTTTAATATTCACAGTTAGAACCATGTGTTGTTTGAGTAGTGAACGTATTTGTATGTATAAGAAATAAGTTTAATTTTAGATACGGGTTTAATTTTGAGTTTTAACTTAAATATAAATTTAAGGGTTAATTTTAATTTATCGCCTTAGATTATGTTCCTTGTTACAATCAACTCCCTAAAAAATAAGAAAATGAAAAATCAAGACAAAAATTATATCTATTTGGCCTAATAATACTAACACACTAGAAAAAATCATATTCACTTCCACTTTCGAGTTCGCCTCATCAAAGAGAAGAAAAAGTTTCTATTGGTATGGGAAGAGAATAGAAGAGTTTTTGAGTATGGGCAGTTACGGGTCTAGTTAGAATAGTACGTATATTTGGTACAGAAGAAAAATAAGTGCAAGAGTAATTATTTATTTTCAACAAAGTAAGGATCATGTGAATTTTGCATGTTTAAATTTCATCAATTTTTATGTTCTAAAAATAACTATTGGAATTAATTGGAAGATATTCAAAATTTAAAGGGAACTATTTGTTAAAATTAAAACCTGAAAGAGTGAATTGTACACTATCCAAAGTTAAAAGGAGTATTTTGTAATTAACCTTAAATTTAAATACACTTTAATGGACAAAAAATTAATAATTCACGCTTGAAATAATTCACCATAAGTCAATATCGAAATTATTTTATAGCAGTAAGTTTTGATTTCATTCATTTATAGTCATTAATTATGAAAAAAATAAAATAAAAAAAATACAATATTTTTTACATGTGCCACCAATTTCGACATTATAATCGAATCGAATGTATAACTGTTTCAAACTGTATATCTTATACCGTTTTGCTGTAATGTTGTCTCTATGTACATGTACAACTGTATACTAATACTCTCTCCCCTCCCTCTCTCTCTCTCTCTCTCTCTCTCTAAAACGAAGCTCCGGCTTTGAAATTGTTTTGTATATGGCGTTTCAAGACCTTCTCTCTCAAGAAATGGTCCTCCACCACCAACACTTCACAGACCAGCACCTATCCGAAAACGCTACCGTTTTACGAGGACTTTTACCGGAGTCAACGTCCGATAGTGCCGCCGGAAAAGCACCGCCAACATGGCTGCTCCGCCAACAAAACCCCCAGCACCACCACTTCACCGGCAGCGATAATAATTTCCTCCACCTCCAGACAACGAACTCGGACTCGTCCAATTCAAACCAGTGGCTTCTGAAACAGAACGACGACGGCTCGACTATGAACCAAGAGAAGACGATGGCTTGTAATGGAGAAAGTGAGAATAATGGTGAAGAGAGCTGTGGTGATTGGGAGAGAGATAGGTGTAAAGCGGAGATTGTGAATCATCCGTTGTATGATCAGTTGTTATCGGCGCATGTGCAGTGCCTGAGAATCGCTACGCCGGTGGACCAGTTGCCGAGGATCGACGCTCAGCTGGCTCAGTCGCAGCATGTGGTGGCTAAGTATTCGGTGCTCGGCGGACATGGAAGTCATGCTCTTGATGATAAAGACCTCGATCAGTTCATGGTAATATAAAGCCGTCTGTTTGATTACTCTGTTCATAGTTGCATACATACATAACTTCATTTATATGTATCATGTATGTGTGACTGTGTGTGTATAAATGCTTCTTGGTTTAGTTTGGTTTGATTGTTGTCGGTGTTTGGGAATTTCTTGTGTATGTGCAAGTATGTTTGATGTGAAAAGGTAAATTTTCTAATTGATTGGTTGTATGTTTGATGTGAAAATTTAAATTTTCTAATTGATTGGCCATTGAAATAGATTTCTCTTTAATTAATGGCCCCATTTTCGAGGGTCTTGTTGTTGCTACTGGTTGATATGCGTGTGTGTGCGTTGAGAGAGAGAGAGAAAGAGAGAGGGTATGTGTACATGTTCATCGCTATGTAGAGATTTTATGGTTCGAAGTTTAGGTTGAATTTGATTTTTACTGGTAAATTTCAAACTTGTATGAATAAGAATGCACACACTTACATGTGCAATGATTTGTCATATTTTTCTTCCTGCATTTAGCCTTGTATTTGAGAGAGAGAGGGAGAGAAGAAACAGCCATATATTCAGCAATGTGAGAAGTGGACAATATTGGGGAAGGTTCGAACTTGAGAAAATTGTACTGCTTTTTTGGTTTTATGCTTTGGGAGATATTTGCACTATAGGGTGTAAACTTTTTTGTTAGTGGGGTTTGATTTTGTGATGTAAACGGGACTGTCCAGTTGTTTGTCACATCGAAAGAGGAATCATGTTTATCTCTCTGTACACTAATAATTGAAGCCTTGGCAGTGGTTTGGGGAATCTCTTTGTTCATGTGGTATTTCCCCACTTGTTCAATGGGTTAGCCGTTGTTGTGTTCTGAAAGTTTTTCTGGCTTCTAAAATACAACTTTTTATCCACATTGAAGGGTCCTCCCATTCACATTATATAGGAATATACAAGTAGGGATCAAATTTTGTGGCAGCAAAATGGTTACAGCTAGTTATATATGTAAGAAAAAAGATATTGGTCTAAAACCTGGCTTTGTCATTAACTTTACAGCAACAAGCAATACTGTTTGTGAAAGTTTGATGTCTTAAAGAGTTGAATAATTTCCTTGGATGCTTGGAATTATTATATTGCCGAAATGAGTTCCATAGAATGTGAGTGCCTATTGAAGAATCAAGATGACTTGGCCTCCAACGAGTTCATCTACATGACATGACAGCTTTGGTAAGTTCTAGTTTAAGCTAATGATACAGGATGAACTTTCTGACCTAGGTGTGGACCATTTTGCAGCTTCCCCCTGGTCAGTTCCATAAGAAGCAATGATATTTTCCCCCCTAGAATTTATTTGGATAAACTTATTAATAAGGTCATATTAAAGTTTCATTTGCCTCTTCTTGGTGAGTAATTGGTTTTCTATTGCTAAAAAATAACTATGATTGCCACAAAGTATTATATTGCAATGTGGATTGTTCGTTTTGAAAATGATCTATTGTGTCTGCTAGGGGAAATGGGTAATTTAAGAGGCAGTTTTTTTAGGAGTCTCATATATCTGTTGTGAGTAGTAGTGAGGGTGACTTCCATCACGCAGATAACTCCTTGAAACAAGTGGAGTCGGCTAGTTCCTGATGGTTGTAGTTCGTCAAATTATTATGAACACCCTGATGATCCTGCACTATAATGCTGTATAACTGGGGATGTATCAAGTGTCCTTTCGCAGAATTGGGTTTACTATTTGCTTGATTTCCTCATTAGTATGGGATGGTCAGTTGTAGTAAATATATATGACTTCTTGATGTGAACAATTTGTCATCTTTCATCTGAATCTTCCCTTTTTGTCCGTTCTTACTTTCTTTTGTTCATTCTGATGTAGACACACTATGTTCTATTGCTTTCTTCCTTTAAAGAACAATTGCAGCAACACGTCCGTGTTCATGCAATGGAAGCAGTCATGGCTTGTTGGGAACTTGAGCAATCTCTTCAAAGTTTAACAGGTGATCTCATGTACTTTATAACTCTTCCCTGAGGCTATGGCTTCTTGAGGCCCCATGGTAGGATAATAGAATAACGTAAACTAATATTAAACTTTCTAAAACTTGTCCATCTTTTTCATAATCCAATTATGAACTTTTCATTGTTGTTTTCTAATATGTTTGCTATCCGTAACACATGCTTTTGTAATGTTGGACTTCTTGTCCTGTCTTTTACATAACACTTATTTTATGTTCTTTGTACCTGGAGAAATTCTAGAATACAAATGGTTCAACATGTAAGACAATTTACATGATTCACATGCCATCTGACTCATTGTAGAAGGCATCTACGAAGTATTTTGTTTTTTAACAGTAGGTCTCTCTCTCTCTCTCAGCCAGCTTGTTTTCCTACTAATATTTTAGAACTTCAATGGAAGTGGATTTCGTTTTTCCATTTGCATTTTCTTTTCCCACTTGGTGCCTGGGTATCTTAACAAGTGTTATTATCATGCCATTGCTGTTTGGGTGCTTTTCTGATCTTTATTAATTGGTAAAGCATGCTGTTTCTAATGTTGCAGAATATAAGTATCTTGCCATTGCAGCTGTTAAAAGATCTTGTGCTTTTGTCGCAGACCAATGTTGACTTATAAGTGGAGCAGAGTTACTTGTTTGTAGTTCCACTGATCAAATAGTGACTTGAGACGGCTTTGTATGAATCTAGTTCTTGCAGGATCATGAGAAAAATTGGTTTAGGATAACAAGTTTCGAGTTGATTCTTGTTACAGGGGAAGAGCCCTGGAGTTTCACTTTTTACATAATTGTGATCTTTGAATTAGTGTTTAAATGATGATGCATTCAATAGGTTCAAATAATCTAGTTTTGACTGTAGTTAGCTTTATTTTTGCCAGTTCCTAACCATGCTATAAAAGGTTCACAGCTAGTAATGTGTTTCTTCAGTTAAAGTTCTGTGCACATCTTGAGGGGACGTAATTGAAAAATATAATATTCTGTAAAACAAAAATTGGACCTCACTTCTGTGGCATAAAGAGGCTTAGTAACCAGGTTTTATGAAATTACCTTTTGCATTGCATTTACAAATAGGTAATATAGAACAACTGGAAAGTTACATTTGTCTTTAGATGGCTAATCCTTACCAACAACGTGAAGCACTCATCTTCGTTCTGTCCAATGGAAGCTTAGGAAAGTAAGAATGATTGCTCCCATGTGGAGGACTTGACAGCTGGAATATCTTTGAAACTAGTATCAGTCAGATGGCTTCTGCATGTGGAAAGCTAGGTCTCTTTATGTGTGGTTGACATGACGAAAAGGTAAATGGACAGGAATACCTCCATTGTGTGTTGGGCAAGGAGTGAGACTATGTGAAATTGGTATTGAGCGGGGTTTGGTGGGATACAATCTCCAATTTGATATCCAGCTAAAAATTGCTTGTTTGCCTGTTGTGTATCAATTCACATGCTTTGCTATGGCTTCTTGATGGTGTTTAAGTTTTATTGCTTTAGCTTTACTCAAGTTTGCTAGCTATAACTAGATTTGTAGTAGGCGTTGCATTATAACTGCCAAAATGAGAGATGGTTTTTCCAATCATATTCTGATCAGTTCAAAAATTTGAAGTCAGATCATTCGCAAACCTAGACACATGCTGTCTAGAAAATAAGCATACATTATCTGAGTTAAATATATGTTGGTGCATTGGCTAACCTATTTAGTAGGGAACATACAAGAAATGAACTTCATTTTAACCAAAAACCAAAGTTTTGCTCAATTCGGAACGAAACTAGTCTCGGGAGAAAAACTAACTTGGCCAAAAATTTGAATGAGACTACATAGGAATCTTCTTGTTGGCACATGCTACAGATAGCAACTTTTTATATTCTAAAGTATTAGTGCTATCTTTTTCTTCATAACATGGAGCACAATTATGTTTTTGGACCCGTTCAGTTTATCTGAGGGACCAGAGGTTTGGAGAATATTGTTGCTACTATGTTTTTGTTTGTTGTGTGTCAAAAATCTGCTTGCGTGTGACCTATTTCATTAAATAAAAAAGCTGTCAGAATGTGATTTGACCACAGAAAATGGGAAATCAAAATTTGGATATGTTGTTCGAGCAACCTCATCAAACTTAACAGAATATTTGTTAATATTTAGCTAAACACCATGATGGAGTAGATAGTGCTGCAATCATGTGGGAGTAGGTAGTGCTGCAATACGTAGGGTTTTCCTTTCTGAAGAAATCACAATGATCATGGGCAAACTAGCATTTGGTTGAGCCCGTTTTATTGGAAATTGTTTCTATCATTTCACTGGCGCAGACTGGATAGAATGTTCTAAACTTCTATCACCAGAATCCACCCAGTGTGACCATTTCATCATTTTTTTTTTCTGTCGACTGTGTTACTGGATTGACAGAGTTTGAATCCTCAATGGTCCTTCGAATCAGTGTTTTCTTCTACGGAAACCCCCATTTAGTTTTGTTCATGTCATCCAAAAATGTAGATTACCTTGCGGGATTAGACTCAGCTGGATAGAATTTTCTTTCACATTTCCGAAACGAATGACCCGCTTTCGCAGTTATTAAGTCAAGACTTGTATTTTCCTCTTTGCATCATCAATTTTCTGCCTTCACCAATTTGTTGGTTATCCCACCTGTGCTCATGAAAGGTTCATTAATCACGTTTTTTGATGCATTTATATGTGAAGATTGCTCTTGGGCTCTTATTCTACAAGGAAACCTACATTTTTTCTTGAAGGTGTCTGTACTTTCTTTCAATTGTATCTTCGCATTTTTGTAATTTACTTTGGATTAACACCATTATAAGTTGTCGTGTACGCGAGTTTGGTGAAATAGTGCTTTGGTTCTTTGGCTCTTGCTTTTGGACCATTGAACTAATTGCTTTCATATTCATAAGTCCTTTGTTCAGGTTCGCCGTTACTACTATTACTATTCTTCTCATTTTTGCTCTAAAAATACGAAACTATTGCCCTGCTACTTGCACATAAACGAACTGGTCCTGAAAGTTGGTTTAAGTTCTGGACTCCCCTTCTAGTCTAATTGACCATGTATCTCATTTAAGATATGATCTTTTATTGGCATCCTCCACTCATATTTTTTTGTTTTGATATTTCTGTAGATATGTCTAATTCATCTGGACAACTTTGAAACTAATGTGATGCACCGACAGGTGTAGCACCTGGTGAAGGTACAGGTGCAACAATGTCGGATGATGATGATGACCAGGCAGATAGTGACACCAACTTGTTTGATGGGAGTCTGGATGGACCAGACAGCATGGGATTTGGTCTTCCAACTGAATCTGAGAGGTCACTGATGGAGCGTGTGCGGCAAGAGTTAAAGCATGAGCTGAAACAGGTAAGAAGGGATTTACTTTATTTATATGTTTCTTTAGTTTAGTACTTCCATTGCAGCTAATTGGTTTTCTGCTCTTTCAGGGCTACAAGGAGAAGCTAGTGGGCATCAGGGAGGAAATTCTACGCAAGCGAAGAGCTGGAAAGCTGCCGGGTGACACCACCTCCTCTTTAAAAGCTTGGTGGCAATCACATTCCAAGTGGCCTTATCCAACTGTAAGCGGTTTTATCTTCTTATATTCCTATCAATTTCCATAGTTGTTGGGCAATTCTGGAACTCAATTGCTTCAATAATATTGTTCAGGAGGAAGACAAAGCAAGATTGGTGCAAGAAACAGGTTTGCAACTGAAGCAGATTAATAACTGGTTCATTAATCAAAGGAAAAGGAATTGGCACAGTAACACTTCATCTTCTACGGTTCAGCGGAGCAAACGCAAGAGGTAGGCTGGTCAATCCTTTTTCTGTTTCTCGAAACACAGTTATATTTTCGTGAACTCATTGCCTACTTCGATTTTGGAATAAAGTAATTCAGGTGCAACCAGCAGTGATCGCTGCATGTAATCCAACAATGTCAAACCCAAGACCCCATTATCGTCTATCTTGTAACTTAAACGACAGTAGTTCATCACCAGATCGCATGCTATAAGCCCCTCTCATTTTCGGGTTGGCTGAACGAAAGGTTGCAGGAGCTTATGGAGATCTTCTTTTAAGCCCCCAACAGCAAGTGGTGGACTAATAGATGAATGGAGGCATATTGACTAGTGTGTGTTTGAAGGCACACCGATGCCTATGAGATATGTAAGCACCATTTCATTATAGAGGTTCAACATTAAAGCACTATCGATGATCCTGCGCTTAAATATACCATGTAATATCAAAATTCAAACATTAATTTTATAATATTTATATTTTAAATAGCATTTGATTTTTTTAATTATATAATTTAAAATTAAAATAAAAAGAAAGAAAAGAGAGGTACGCCTAGTTTGATGGGTTGCTTGGCATTGAGAAGTATGTTGATTGAGTTGTGTGACATTAAGGGTTGTGCATCATAGATGATATTTTCGAGCAAGAAAAAAAAATTAGAATGAATTTTGTATTATTGGATCAAAGTAAAATAAGATTCAATTAATATGACTATTATTGTGCTTGTATAAGTTGTGAATTTAACTCGCTAAATGTAATATTAGATGGATGTGAGAATTCAATTTACTATTTCATCCACCAAATAAATAAATATATTAATAATTAGACAATATTGCAGATGTTTTAGTCAATATGTAATTGAGAATATTATCTCACATTTATCTGGTGTTTAGTAATAAAGATTATTAACTTTATCATATATTTAAATTTGTATTTTATCTGTTTATAAAGAATTAATTAGTATTAATTAATACAATAATTTCTTTTATTATAAGACAACCAAATGAGTCGTATGTGGATGAAATATGTAAGCATCATTTCATTATAGAGGTTAAATTATTGTAAAAAAAATGATTGTTACACCTCAATAATATCAAGTTTAGATTTCCAAAAAAAGAAAAAAAATGCAAGCTTTGAAAAAACATCAAAAGTCTTGTGGAGAATAATGTAACAATTATCTCAATAAACCAGTGAGAAAGTGTCCCGCGGTGGTTGCAGTCTCAAAATGGAGGTTTTTTTGCCTGTAAAATTGTGCAAAAGGTTTTTTTGGGCTACTATGTTCCCATCGCCCGACTCATAATCGAAGCGGGTCTCGTGCGATCTCATGTGCAGGCATAATTAAGGTGGCCAGACTGCCTGCGGGTTGATCCTGAAATGTCAAGACCATTCTCAAAAAATTTCATTTTTGTTGTAATTTAAATATATTAAATTATAATCCTATTTTTATCTCATAATCGTTTTTTGGTGCAATATCGAAAAATAATTTAATCTCACCCTAGATATGATGATGGTAATACACGAATTCAGTTGGGGCTCCAACCGACTCCTGATTGGAAATTTTGAATACCATGGGGTACCAAATATGCCTACCAATAAATTTCGTTTGGCTTATAGATTTTTTTTTTTTGGATGGGGAAGGAAACTTGAACCATTGAGTTTAGATAGACAAAATTTTCACAAGGTAATGAGTACCATTGAACTAAAAATTCTTTAGTGTTTGACTTTATAGATAAACAATTAGATTATTGATTATTATTTCTGACCAATTGTAATTAAATTTTTAAAAATTATAACTTTCATGATTTATCACAAATTATTCAGTGATCAATTATGTTCTTTGGACTTCTAATTTCTACGTTCAAAAGATTATAACTTAACCTTAAAACTTTGTAACTTTTGTTACTCGATCTCTTTTGATACCGTAGTCGTCCTCAAGGGCTTTATCTTCCAAAGATTAGGGCAAAAAAGGAAACATAATTTTTTGTGCCATACCAAAAAAATTTCTAATTATATATACAATTTTGTCCATTAGTGGCGTTGATTGTGAAAATTATAAAAATTAACATGAAATAACAAAACAAGACAATTTTATGTGTCGTGTATTTATTGATAGAAAATAAAAAGTACGGATTCAAAAAATAATCTATATAATAAAATAAAATACAATTCAAATCTCAAAAAATAAAAAAAATAACTTTTATTTTTTGCGATTGAGATATCTTTAAATTTTATTTTAAAGTTAATTCGACCGCTAATATTAATACCCCAAATTTAATAGGGAATATAGAGCCTTAAATGTGTGTTTGTGGTGACTTTTTAAAATTAATACTAAGACATATAACTTTTTATAAGTATTTTTAAAAAATAAAATACTGTTTAGAACCGTCCTACCACCACTACTACCACCACCATCACAACTGTCACCGCCACCACCACTACTACCAAGCCATTCCCACCACTACTGTCGCCACCATACCACTACTACCACTGTCGCTAACATACCACTATCACTGTTATCGCCACTATTATCACCACCGCCCCACCACCAACCCCACCGCCCCACGACCACCATCACCACTATTGTCACAACTGCCCCACCACCACCATCGCTATCGCCACCCTATTACCATTATCACTATCCTACCGTCGCCCTTAGCACCACCACCCCCATGACCATCACCATTACTGTTGTCACCACCCTCATCATCATCGCTACCCTCACCACCACAGTCATTGCCCCACTACTCCACTGCCACTGCCACTGCTATCATTGTCGCCACCCTACCACCCACCATCGATTGCTATTACCGTTGTTCACCGCACCACTTATTTTCATTGTCATCTCATTCTTATATTTATTATCACTACCATCATCATCTCACTATCACCGTCGCCCACTGTTAGCACCCACCTCCACCGATTACCAAGACCCACCAACACTTGTCGTCGCTCACTATTGTCGCCAGCCATTGTCACCCATTCCCACCACACATACCACCACCACCACTGCATTTACCATCACTCATTACACTGTCGCCCGGAAACACCTGTCGTCGCCCTACCACCACCATCATCACTGCCCACCACCACAGTTAATCACTATCATCCTCGTCACCCTACCACCACCTCTGCCAACCACCATCATCGTCGTACACCACCACCCACACCCACCACTACCATTACGGTCACTCATGGTTGTCATTATCACCATCGTCACTCAAAATCCGCTACCACCATCATCGTTGTCACCACTACTACGGTTATCGCCACCCAACACAACCATTATCGTCTTCCATCACCACCACTACCGCCCACCACCACTACAATTGGTACTTAAATTCCATTCTTTCCTCTTTATGTTTGAGATTTAATTTTAGTTATGAATACAAAGATATTTATTGTTCACTATTTTTTTTATTATTCCATGCCTTCAGTTATAGAAAAAAACTAGTAATTCGATATTATAGTTCAACCAATCTTTCAGTTTTATTATCGAGAAATTGAGTTACTTCCCAACTAAATGTTTTTTGCTCTCCATAATAATGATATTAGGGAAAATTTTAGTCACATCACTTTTAGTTTATTATATTTTCACAGACATTCTCTCTATTATTCAAAACATCATTGACATCCCTTATAATTTATATTTAACTCTTTCCTGTTATATCACAGTTTCTAACAAAATAAATTCATCAAAAATATCAAATTTGCCCCTACATAAACTCCAAACACATTTTCCATATAAAATTTGAGCCGATTAAAATTTATTTTTTTACATATTAAAATTTAAGTCAATTAAAATTCAATTCAAATTAATTAAAATTTATTTTTTTATGTATTAAAATTCGAATCTATTAAATTTTTTTTACGTATTAAAATTTGAGCCGATTTGGGCTTTACCTAATTTGTTAGTGCCGATTAAAATTTACTTCGAGTCAATTAAAAATTATATTTTTTTATCTATTAAAGTTCGTGCTAATTAAAATTTAATTTTTACGTATTATAATTTGAGTCGATTAAAATTTATATTTTTTCGTGTATCAAAATTCAGGCTGATTAAATTTTAATTCGAGTTGAGATTTTTAATCAACTTGAATAGAATTTTAATCGGCTTAAATTTTAATACGTAAAAAATATAATTTTTAATCGATTTGAATTTTAATTAGCTTGAATCGAATTTTAATCGGTTTGAGTTTTAATATGTAAAAAAATTTAAAAATTAGAGGAGGTCTCATTGAAAATTTGTATATCTAGAGGACATGTGGATGAAGTTTTTCTTAAAATATATCATGAATAATTTAATAAAATTGTACTTTAGTTAAAACTTTTAATTTGAGATTGTTTTTGCAAATATAATAAATTAAAAAGGATGTGACTAAAATTTTTTCATAGTATTATATTACTCATTAATTCTATACAACAAAAGGAAGAGAGGAAGGGGCCCTCTTTGGTTTTTTTTGGGAGGGGGGGGGGGGGGTTCTTGAATCTTGAACCACCCCAACCTCAGTTCTTTGCGTGTGAAAAATTGTATGCCGACTTTTCGGGTTATAAGCGTGATGCACATGAACATTGCTGATGAATGGGTCAAACCTTTGAGATATATAGGTCCAACCAACAAATCATTGAACAGAAACGTGTTAAATTAAAACAACTTTTTGAAGTCTCAGGTACAAGAAAGGAGGTAGGATTTGGTCAAATAAATCGGCTCATCAGATGGGTTCTACTTCTAGAAATTATGGACCGGCCTTAGCCGTGGACAGGTTGGCTTTTGTTTTTCTACGAATATAATTAGGTTTTCCTTCCTAAGCCTGCATCATTTAGTATTCCTATACAAGTTTTTTAGTCATTTGTCTGACCTGTCTACTATCTGTTGTAAGGTGATCTCTGTCTGTACAATAAAACCTAAGTAATTAACTAATGAATTGATTACATGACAAGTGTCTTGGCACCCGATTCTCGATGAGGGACTAATTAGTTGGAGTCGCAGAGGACAAAGTGAAGAAAATTTGGAAATACAAATTTTTACTATGTTACATAAGAAAGACTTGATAACTACTTTATGATTTTAGAGTAATTTTTAAAATCTGACGGGACGATCACCCTTTCTGTCCCCCTAAATCCGTCGATGGATCTAGTCATGACGCAGAACCACCATTGCAGTAGTCGTCTTTGTGCTGTGGATAAACCTTGAGGTAACAATTTGCACGGAAATTTACTGATTTTATAAATTGATGTTTAATCAATAGGTGTTATATAGATAATTACATATATCCAAGATTTATAGCGTCAAAAGGACACTGCTAAAATGATTTCACGTCACCCAACAGAATTGAGCTAACAAGATTGAAATTATGTGAAACAACAGAGACATAAACTCGTTAAATAACCCATGCATATAACTTGATCAATAAAAAAGAATAAAAAAATCCTTTTATTTATAAGAGATTCTTCCATGATCAACACCACAAAAGAATGTAATAAAATACCACATTTACAACTCTGATTGCCTTTGTAATTCGCCAGAGAAAGGAGGTGCAAACTTTGATGGAAAACCACGCACCAAACCCTCTTCTTCCTCTTCAAAGCCCTGGTCAAAGTTGAGAGCATAGCTCTGTGGATCATACTGAAACTGTGTTTTTGGTTTCTTGGTTTTCAAATCCTTGCCAATCTTTCGTATCAAGTTCTTCCATTTTGGCCCCGCTGTGATCTCGGAAACCTCCCTTGCCTTCTTCAGTTTCTCCACCAACCATGTGTCTTTGTGCTCTCCATTCTGGTGCAATAAATACCTATTATCTCCTTCTTGGCCTCGTGGTCGTGGCCATTCGGAGCATAGCCCAAAACAGCAACACCCGGTAGGCGAGACGGTTTCTTCATAGTGATCAATATCTATTCCTTCCTGTTCATGTTCCTTTAATGGTGAAGAATTGATCATGAAAGCCTGTTTCCCATGAGGCTCAACCATTTGATAATATGAATGGGTTTGTGTGGACGTCAGAGAGAGAGAGAGAGAGAGAGAGAGAGAGAGAAGGATGTTATGTTAACAGAGAAGATGGATAAGGGTATAAATATGGAGAAGAGATGGCAAAAGAAATAACGAAGAAGAAGCTGAGAGCAAAGGAAGTGTAGGATGGCAAAGCAGTGAGAAATGTGATCAGGAAGGCCCAATGCAAAGGCACCAAATTGAGATGTTAGGAAAATTTATAGCTTACGTGTCAGTATATGATTGGACTGTATCATTGTTCTATAGTTTGTGATTGTCAAAGTATGAGTTGGAATTGAACACTGTTTTGCTGGCGCATAGGGTACGCGGTGTCTTTTAAATTAAGAATTAGTGATAATAGTAATGGACACTACATTCCACATCAGAGCGTGTAGAACGCGTAGGAGAAGATTATATCCATATCGGATTGGAAGGAAATCAAGAGCTTCTCTGCGTAGTTTAAAATTCGGTCCCGACCTCGACAAACGAATCGGGTAAACGGGTATTGGTTCAACTGTTTGGATCAGTTATAAAAAAAAAAAAAATAATAAATATGCTAAAAAATTATAATAATTATAAAAATTGCATCAAACATGTAAAGTAGAGAAAAATCCTCAAAAATGTATCCAATGCATTTAAATTCCAATATAATTTGTAAAGTTAAGTATAAAAAATGGATAGTTCTATGTGTACCAAAATTTACACCAAATCAATTGAACTTATTGGATCAGTAATAAGCTATGAAACATGAATATTTCGTTGATGTTTGCGTATTCGTATTGGATACTTTATTGGATACGATATTCGAGAATACGTATTGGATACACCTTCTACATATACAATAATAATTAAATATTAGGATACTTTACGGATACTTTTGTGTTCAAACAATATATATAATTTTTGAGTTAAATTTTTAATATTTTCTTTCGAATTCACATATCATACAATATATTTACAAAAATTCATACTACTTCAAAGGCACATGAGTATTTTTTAAGTATTATCTATAATTACATGTCAACAGAGCAAAAATAAATTTATTACATTATAGTTTTAGTAAAAATTACTTCTAAATAAATCGACTCGGTAAATATTAATTTTAATTTATTTAATTAATCACTTCACTTTGTGAATATACCATAATTATACGATATATATTTTCTTCAAACTAAAAAAATTACTAATTTTTCTTATTGTGTTAAAAAATTACTAAAATATATAAATATTATGCTGATTGAAAATAATAAAAATATTAAATATATTTTATTATAGCAATATCTTGACCGTACCCGTATTTTTTTTTTTTAAATTTTGTCGTATCGCCGTATCCGTATCGTATTATACCTGTATCCCGTATCCATATTTGTGCTTCATAGATAATAAGACTCACTGATCCAACGACTGCAAGTGATTTGATGCAAGTTTATCCAATGCATTCAATTTCCAATACAACTTGTAAAATTAAGTATAAAAAAATGGATAATTTTATGTGTACCAAAACTTACACCAAATCAATTGAAGTTATTGAATCAGTAATGAGATTCACTGATCCAATGACAACAAGTGATTTGGTGCAAGTTATGGTGCACATATGACAGCTCTAAAAAAAAACCTTTATTTAAGTTCAAGGTTCCAAGTCCAAGTATTTGACAATGCATCAATGCATACATAATCCATATAATTTGCACTCTTTAAAGTTTAAACTCAAATTATAATAAGCAAGACACATAAAAACAAAACGAAATGCATGTGCATAGCACAAGTACTCAAATAATTGATTATGCTGAGTTTTGCCAAATCTCATAGCATAAGCATAGCTCAATTTGTGAAATCTGCTCAAGCTCAACTCATAGCCATAAGCAAAATAATTGATCAAAAAATATGCTCAATGAATTGCATAATTCTTGAAAAAGAGCCCTCTAGATCTTAATCGCATAATCTTAGGTAGCAATGCAAGTACAACATAGCTCTAAGACTATACTACTAAAAAATTAAAGCTTCAACGTACAAAAATCAAAAATCAAATAAAGCAGATTGGGGCATGTACATGTTAGACAATTAGAGAGTAGAGAGACTGGGAGAGAGAATGACAAAGAATGAGAGCATGTAGTGTACCTGTTGTTGTCAATGGTAGTCCTCGACGCTTGGATGGAGCTTTGAAGCAGCCTTTGTCCCTTGCTTGCTTACAACGACGTAGAGAGAGAACTGAGATTGAAAGTCAGAGAAAGAGGAAGAGAGGGAGAAACTCACTTAGGTTGATTGATTGAGAAGATCGTCTACCATCGCAAAGAGGTAGAGGCGCAGTAGCAGTGGCAAAGGTAGAGGTAAAGAGATTTAGGACAAAATGCCAAAAACTAAGTTTTTATAAAAAATTAATTGATCCGATTAGTTTGAGAAAAATCGTCCGAGTGGAATGGTTCACTGGGTTTTAGACGAATTTTGTGCATAAACAATCTAATGAGTAAACCAGCACGGTTTAGGCACCACCGGATTAACCCACCGAACCGGGCCGAATTTTAAAATTTCAAATTGGCCCTAAATTTCAAGCTCCAGCCATACTAGCCCAGCTAAGGCCTGCCCATGGCCATATCAAGTGGTGAGCCGGATTGCCCATTAGCTGGCCCATCAGGCCTTTTGTTGTCCCTTAATCAGAGAAAATGGGGAGTCACATTTTATGAATACTTTTCTATTTTTGAGATTTGAGATAGGTGAAAAAAAAATTTATATTTCACATTGAGGGGCATTCAAAAAACTTGAAAGAAATTTCGGCCACATAAAATAAATTTGGTCTTCACCTACCTCACAACAAGATGAGATGGATTGTGGTTGGCCTTATAATCTTGCAAATCTCGGTTATCTATATATCATAAGAAATAAAATGTCATAAAAGAAAATCTCAACGAAAACTTTTTATAATTTTCCCCGGTTCAATATCTCTTTTTTTCTTCCAATGAAAACTTAATAGTGTAACACTTATTTATTGATTTATTTTATTTTAATTTATCATTTTCACAATCTATGGTTAAAGATAAATAAAAAAAATTTAAAAACTCAAAATTATATAGAGATATAGCACCCAAAAAAACTTTTCGATATTAATGGTTTCCGCTGTGTAATCAGAAAGTGTCTTAATAGAGAATCTAATATTACACAGCTCTTTAGGTTGGATGGAGACTTGAGTACTGCCATAGAGCAAAAGTAGTGTGAGACCATACTTCCCAACTTTTATCAACCTCTCTGTCGTTTTTTTTTTTTTTTAAAATACTTTTCTCTTTTTAACCCTTCCTTTATTCTTCTTTTCTCTCGTCGCGGCCAGAGACTCTGAGTTCTGCCGAGAGAGAGATCTGAGTATATGTTGAGACTTGAGAGGGCCAGAGAGAATTTCTCTCTCTGTCTCCTCTCCCTCTCCCTCTCCTCTCTCCCTCTCACACACACAAGTAAGACACACAGTGTGTGTGCATACCTTGGGCTTTTAGATGGAAACTCTGTTATCCCAAGTACTCTGGTGGGTTTTAAATTATAGGATTTAATGATGTCCCTTCCATATGTTTACAATATCAATGACTAAAATCACACGAGGAAATTTTGGGATCAAGTCGTGGGAGATATATCTCTTAAGAATATTATAATTTTGGTGTGTATGACATATCTTTAACTAGACTGAAGAATAGATTAGTCAAAATACGCATAAATAGGATTGTCAATTTTCGACACAACACGAATCGAATACAAAATTAATGAGTCGAATACAAAATTAAACGAGTTAATGGGTTAAAACTTGTCAATATGCTTAAACATGAAAAAAATCATGTCGGATTTATGTCAAAATCACGTCAACTTGATTTTGACCTGATTAACCCGTATATTTTAAACGGATTGACATAATTCAGATACGAACCCGACCTAATCCATTGTAGACTCGTTCAACGTGTTTATGGTAGTATAGTTTGTCTATTATGTATGACTGATGTGATATTAACATTATTATTTATTAGTTATTCCTTTTACTATGATAATTGATAATATAGTTCTTAACATTATATGACAGTATACTAGTATAGTTCTTGTTTTAATTTTTGAGTTGAAACTTGAATGCATTTTAGTTAATTTCATTGATGAGATATGAAATGTTATTTGTAAAAAAATTATTTAAAATTTTGGATGAATGATTTATTTAATGGTAATAAACTGGTGCGGAAACAGGTTACGTGTGTTAAACAGGACTGTGTTATGCGTGCTAAACAAGATAAACAAATCATGTTATGGGTTAACCCAAAAACGACATGTTAATTAAATGTGTCAAACAAGTTAGGTTCGGGTAACCCGTTTAATGGCTAGGTCAAGTTGATATTTATACATCTCGATACGATTATTAAACATGTTAGGTTTGAGTTTTGAGATTTCGACACAAACTCGAAATCAACCTAACACGAAATGACCCAACCCGACACATTTGACACCCCTACGCATAAGTTAATATGAACATCCCTAACTGTTGAACAAAAAAATCATACAAGAAAGGATCCACCAAGTCCCAATAAAAAATTGAGAGAATTACACCTAAACTTTTTGAGATTTATCACTTAATCACTCAGATTCCTTAATTTTTGAAATATTACACACAGATCTCCTGAAGTTTGTACGTGCGTAACAATTAGACTTTTGCTGGTCAATGCCTATTAGTAAATTACACCCAGATCCCTTGAAGTTTGTAGGTGTGTAATACTTAAACCCCTTAAGTTTAAAATGTTATACTTAGATCAAAAATACTTTAATAAAAAATAGAATATCAAATATTTTAAATTTTACAATAAAAATTTATGTTATATTATTAAATTTATTGAAATAAAATAAAAAATAAAAAAATATTTTTCTTAAAAAATCATAATTAGTATACAATTATAATATCTATTAGAAGAAATCTAAAAAAATCAAACAAAGAGTCAAACTATAATAGACACAATATCTTCTAGCTTTAATTGAGGTAATTTAGTAGTTTAATTTGGTCATTTGGGGTAAAACTGTAAAAATAATATCTTCTAA